ATCTACCTAAGAAAGAAATTCTGAAGATAGAAACAAAATTCATCTGGAATAAAGAGCGCGAAAACAAAAGGCTGAAGAAATTCTAAGGTTGGGTTGAGAATGACCCGTTACTAGTAACTTAACTAAGTATCACGAGTAGAAGGGAAATAATTTTGCTACAAGTTCAAACATCTCTGATCTCCATGCGCAAAAAAACATGCAGGTTGTGGCACTATGAGGTTGAAATTACTTCCCAATATCGTTTAATCTACAACGCATCCATTGTTATCATTCGCGAGCTTAAAAAAATATACACAGAACTATTGTGAATCTATAGACTTTTTCATGAAAATGGGGCTCTAGAATAATTAATGAATAGTGAAAAATGAAAAAATACTTTAGTCATCTTGGAGGAATTAAGTCCCGCCACTTTCATTTGCTAAAAGAACCACAATTTTTGATAATTTCGTATAATTCTTTACCGAAATATGAATCATCGACACACCATATTGAGTTAATAGAGACACAAATTCTGAAGCGGTACACTAACCTCATTACAACAAGAAAAGCGAAGGTAGCATTGATGTTAGAGAGGCCTACCGGAAGACATGGAGGCTGAAACAACCATGATGTATTGCTTCCACTCAATGGTGCGTGAACCCATGATAACACATGTTTCTTTGGTTTGGTGGAAGATGACTGGTATTAACAAACAGTCAGGATGTAAAGAACTGCTTGTTTGTGAGTAACAAGGGCAATGGAAACCATACCAAAAACAGCAATGGAAGAAAGACACCCTTGAAGGTATTCCTTTCACATCTTGCATTAACGGATGAGGCAAGAGTGGTGCCAATGCAGCCTGGAAAATGGGGCCAACTTGAAGTGTGAAGGACATACAAATTTGAGGTTATAAAGGATGAATAGTGGATGATGATGCACACTGCCAAGCAGCAGTTTATTAGGGCCAGGACGCTCAGGAGTATAACAGGCCACGAAAAGATTGATGAAAGTGCTAGTCACGGGGATTAATTCTCAATATATTGGCACTGAACCAATTGTGGGATTAACAAAATCTATGGTAGGTACAGAACTAGAACGTGAAGAATATCGCACATAGGAAAACACACACACGAAAACCTTTATAAAGAAATCGTTTGCAAACAAGATTGTTGAAATTGGTGCCATGAAAAAAAGGCATGAAAGACTCAATCGTATGGTAACTCCAAGATAACTGGTGAGAAGGTTTTTTAATACAAGCTACAGGTAAAATATTCCTGTTTTACACAGGTTTCGAGTTCGAGTTACATTTCAGAAAAGAGTAGGTATACTCTAATGTTTAGAAACATATGAAATCAGATGTATTGGAGTTCTGCAGGATTGTTGACCATCATCAAGTATATTTTTCTGAATGTTTCGCCAACATGAGCACTAGACATCGCTTCAAGAGCTTTCTTCATATGTTTCACGGAGCCAGTTGTTCAAGAACGTTGATACCAAAACGTTTTTGTCCCCGCCAATGAATTCCGATTGCTGTGAATGTCCAATTATTTTCTGGTGAATGTATACTAAGTTTCTTCAACGTTACATCATTAAAGATATCAATAATGAATAAATTTCCTGAAAAAAGTCTGCTCATTCTTATTCTCCTCAACGTTCGAAAGTTTTGCGATTGATTGCGTCTCGACCAATTATTCCTACCAAATTAACATTTCAAATGAAAATGATTTCTAAAGAACCACACATCTGTTTCCTCACTATAACAGCTATAATGTGGGCAGGTGTCTACGTATATGGCATATAAACGAGAAAAGCTGTATAAATGAATTGACAATGGCCGTCTGTGTGGAGAGATGAGTGCAATCAGACAATGTATTAATTTATTGCTAGCTTAATCTCACTTCTCTATTTGCGGAATTTAGGTTAGGTTGACTAATTTCTCGACCGTTCGCATCACCAAGGACTGCAGCAGGATAGAGAAAGCGGTATGTAGTTCCCCCAATTCAACTTCTTAACGGCGTAGCAGACAATGGGGAATGTTCCTCATTTTGGGTTATTACAGCAAATGCAAGTTTAAACAAAATAAAGTTGAGTTTAATTCATGAGTTTTTCAAATTCACTTCGAAATGTATTCAAATGGATGTTCCAAATGTTGGGTTTTAATTTTTAGAGGGATTTGTTTCTGATTAACATATTGGCAACAGCGCCTATATCAAGTTGAAATAATTTATACGTGCCTAGATATTCTACTTTAAAAAAGGAAAATAATCTTTATAAATCAACAATTAAGGCAAAATATAAATTATATTTCAATACCACCTCAACAAGCCACATCAACAACAGTTGTTTTGTTATTTATTTATATAGAGGAAGATAGGTTAGGTGCACAAAATGCCATATGTTACAGAATGTCTCGAAACTCGGAACATAAGTAAACAGAACAGCACGCCTCTGAAATATGTCATCTTTGTTTGTCTCATACAGGTAACAGATTCATTGTCCTTTATTAGCTATAACCGATATTGCCAAATGGTGAAATAGAAACGAATCCCTTTAAATGTTGAATGCATTATTTAATTTCTCTTTTTTGATTATTTAAATGATTTTTTAAAGCAAGAGGTTGAAATGATAAGTTTAAAATGCGTTGTTTTAAAGCTCTTTTATGAAAACTACTTGATTTTCGTCAGGAGAAACATTCCCCATTGAAGGGAGATTGTCATATTTCAACAAAAATTGTTTATTATACAACGGAAAATCAAATTAATTCAAGTTGAGGCTATATTCGTTATCAAAGTGCCCGTAATTCATTTTGTGGTGAGTCGATTACATGTTTTATATTTTGAGAGCAAAACTTGAAGAATTGTTCTCGATTAAATAGTACATTCATAAAGACATTAGTACGAGCGAGCGAGTACAGCTCTGAATTAATTGTGAATTATGGTGAAGGTTCTGCAAAGTTTCTAAAAAATCTGTCTTAGTGAAGAAAATAATACGGAGGCAACGGAAATCATAAATGATTTTTTTTTGTGAAATCTTAAGTGTACCTGAACGAAATGGACCTATCGTAATTCCAGATGAGATGAGAGAAGGCATATACTCTGATTATATTTTAATTTCAAGTTACGTCTATAAAATTGCGTTTTCGTTGAGCAATTTTTATGGAACATGTGTATTTTCGAATTAAAAAAAATCATTTTCATTTGGAAAACTTACAAGCTACTCTGTTTCGCTCCTCTAGGTTAGGTTAGGTTAGGTTAGGTTAGGTCCAATATGAGTGGGTCTATTCGACCTCCATTGCAACCCGCAAGGGTTTATTTTTTAACGAAGCCTATTAGTTTGTATGGTGAGTGGTCTTTCAGGTCAGATGGTAAGGAACGGGAAAGCCGTACTCTAAAAACATGATTTGGTCCCCAGCGGTGCAGGCACAAAGTATGTGCTCTGCTGTTTCATCATTTTCCAAACAGAGGCGACACACACTGTCTTCCGACAGTCCGAATCCCTGCATATTATGATGCAAATGACAGTGACCTGTGAGAAGGCCTCTTAGACATCGTAGTTCATCCCTACTGTAGTCCAACAACTGTTTGGAATCAAGCTTCGCCCTGGAGTGAGCCAATCCTGAAAGATTCTGCCAGAAGTCCATAAATCTTCTTGCCATCCAGGTGTTCAGTGTTTGTTTGGCAAAGCCCAAAGCGATGCCAATGACAGGTTCTGGTCCAATGAAGCCGCTTGTAGCGCCCTCCTTTACAAGGGAGTCAGCAGCCTCATTGCCTTCCAGACCAGTATGGCCAGGAATTCAGACCAGAGACAATCTGTTAAAGCTTTCTATCGAGGAAAGTCGTTTTTGGCAATTGCTACCAATTTAGACATTGCTTGGTAGGAACAAAGAGCTTCCAACGCCGCTTGAATGTCCGAGAATATTTTTATTGACTTGTGTATGAGGTTGGATTTATCCAACCGGAAGGTGTTTTTGATCCATCTGTGAACCAACAGCTATCAGCTCTTAATATTCTCTTCTCCCGGAGGATCCACTCCCATCTACTCGGGAACAGTACTTTATAAGGCAGTTCGTAGTTGACAGTTGGAGGCATAACGTCAGAGGTCATTTCCAGAATGCTGTGACTTCCAATGTCAACTAACAGTCTGTAGCACTCTGCATTGAATTGATTCGTGCAATTGGCAATGTGCACAAGTCTATGTGAAGTTCATCTAGCCTCTCTCTCCAGAAAAATGTAGAGAGGTGGTAGATCTAGAAGGATCTCCATGACCACTGACGGTGTGGTACTGATGGCACCACTGATGGCCAGACAAGCCTGTATCTGTAAGCCAGAGAGCTTCGCCTGGGCCTTCGTTCCATGATTCGAAATAGAAAATTCTCGTCCTATATACGACGAAAGTGGTTATACTGTAATTGTGAAAGAGAGTAACCTGGTAACCTAGAGAGAGTTCACTCAGAAAATCTTATGGGAAACCTTCCCCACTGATATACTCACAGAATGCCTGAAAGGATAACTATCAACCGATTCATTGAAAATATTGTTGTTGTCTAGAGGGCTGTGTTGAATAAGAATTTTTTTGTCATTGAAAAAGTGATCAACATAGTGATCTTGACCATTGCTACCGTTAACTTTGCTCTGATCAAACTGAGAATGGAAAAGTGAGCCAGCGTGGTTTCTAGCTAGAAGCTCTGTTACATCCGATTTAATAGTTTCATTCAATTCTATCAGGAAGTCTATGTCGGTTTCTTCATTTGTGGTCGAGTCTTTAGTTTTTTCCTTTTCCTTGACCTTCTTGAACTGGTTATTTTGATTGACCTCTTCGAATGCCCTGGCAATTTCATTCTGGAACAAGGAAAACATTAAATAAGAAAAATAATCCAATAATATTGATTCAGCTCAAAAGCTACTGAATACAATCATCAATTTAGTATGAGACACGTCATATATAGAAGAAAATCAAAACTAAGATTTTGAAAGTAAACAACTATTTTCAGATGAAAAAAATTGATTGATCACTATAATGTTATAAGCCTTTATAAAATAATTGGTTTAATCCATGCCATAACTTGAGACTGAATTTTCTCTGATAACTTATTGTGTTATATACGTGACCATCACGTATCCATATGTATCACACATTTTTCTGAATGAATATCATTTAGATATAATTGTAATCTGACACTTACGTTTACGAAACAACTATGGATCGAAGTAATTTAAGTGTATTTTTTCTTAATATACCTACACATCGCCAAAATTCTTGGACCCCCCCTCGTAAATTGTAAGACGAAATATTTATAATAGCTAGATTTTGTACATATACTCTTTAAGTACCTCAAGTACTCTAATTTAGATACCAATGTTTGAAAAGTGGTTTATATCGATTTAGCATGTTTGAGTGATTATTCGCAATTATATGCCTAGCAATAGATTTTCAGTATTTCATAGAACAATAATAGTGGATTTGCATGATGGGGGTTTGCCGACTCATCAAATCGCGGATAGACTAAGTATTCCTAGCATTTCAGTTATCTGAATAGTACATTTGTACCAGGAAACTAACAACGCTGACTGGTGACGTTGAACTAGGCATCCTAGGGTAACTAATGCCATAGAAGATCGGTATCTAGCAGGATATGTACGAGGGTAGTTCCAGAAGTAACCGGCCTGACCTAGAGATGGCAGTAGCTGTTTTAAAAATATCACTGTATCAGAAGGTACCCAATGTATATAGAGCATATGTTTCAAGTTTGAAGACGCTGCGTTGTTTAGTATTTGTTTGGCAGCCATCAATAGCGAACGTTTTCGGTCAATTTGTGAATAGGGTGAAAATTGATCATCGTTGTGTGGTACAATATTTTTATTTGAGAGGCCTTAGCCCAACCAATATAAAAGCTGGACTAGATTTTACTCTTGGTGATCAAAACACGTGTTGAGGTGTTAAAAATAACGGTTTTGGTGGTGGGAAAAAATCCAGTAATATTCATTACTACACCAAAGGTCCCAAACAGTGCATCACAAGTACGATGACAAAAGTCTGTGCAAAGTTGATGTCAAAAAACCTGAGTCCTGACCAAAAGCTCCTGCGTCAACAGGTCTGCTCAGATTTCCTTGAAAGGTCAGAAGAAGATCCCGGACTAATGAAAAACATTATTACTTGCGACGAAACGTGGATTTTCCAATACGATGATGAAACAAAGCGGCAATCGATGCATTGAAAGACGCCTGAATCGCCCGGAATCAAAAAAGCAAGGATGTCCAAATTAACATTTAGGGCAATGTTGATCGTTTTTTTCGACATTAACGGTATCGTAATGACTGAATGGGTTCCAGACTGTTAACCAGACTTACTATATGTCATTGTTGGCAACACTGCGAGAACGAGTTCGTAAGAAACGGCCCGACTTGTGGAAGAACAACTCGTGGATTTTGCACCAGGACAACGCAACTGCCCATAACAAGCTATCTGTGAAACGGTATTTGGCCGATAAACGCACTCCAGTGCTCGAACACGCGCCGTACTCGCCAGATTTGGCACTGTGCGACTTTTTCTTCCCGAAGATAAAATCTGTTTTGAAGGGGACCCGAAATGAGTCGTTGGAAGCGGTAAAGCAAAAGGCCCTCACCAAAGAAGACTTCCAGCACTGCTTTGATCAATGAAAAAAACGTATGGAAAGGTGTGTGGCGGGGGGATGGGAGTATACTGAAAGGGAGCATTCGAATGTAGAATAATTTTTTGAAATGAAACCCTTTTTAGTAACCAGTCTCGTTATTTATTAGCCGGACCTCGTATAGCTCCTCATGGGAATAACGCATGAGATAACGATTATATTTGTGGATAACGTTTTCGAATTGTTTTACCGAAAGCCAATGCATCCGCCTACTTACAGATTTATCGATATCATGTTAGAGTAATTTGAATAAATTATAGACTGCTCTTAGCACTTTTCAATTAGCAGACGTTCGTCTCATCGTTTTCAACGTATGACATAATTTGGCCATGGGTATACCAGCGCTTGACCTTGGAGGTTTATGGCCAGTATTGCGTAAGTGATTATCAGCGATTTGATTATGTTCAACAAGTATTACCACATAGCTCTTAGCTACGATACCGATCTAACACCAACTCCACCAAGTTCATGTACGAATGTAAATTTTTTTCAGTGTATTTCTGAAATGGCTTAATTCAAGTAGTCACCGGCTTTGAAATGGATACCTCTATCGTAACTATGTATTATCGTTAGATCTGCGGGTAGTTCATTTGAATGAATATTTCATTTATAACATATTCTCTGTGAAGTGGTATACAATTCTAAAGGTGAGACTGATGTGGTGCTAGTAAATAAAATGCCTTCTAATCTTCATATTCAACAACTCCACTCCAAGTTTCCGGTATAAACAGGATGAAACATGACTCAAGCGGAGCGAGATCTGGAAATTTGAATGGCCATTCTATAGAACAATTTTGTATGATAAATTCAAACTCAACCACACAAATCAGTTCAATTTTCTCTTCAAGATGATCACATGGTGATCGAAACACGTGTCGTGTTAAAATAACGGTTTGGTGTTGGGAGAATACTCCATTACTACACCAAAGTTTCCAAACAGCGCATCACAAGTCAATTATGAATGCATTGATATTCACAATATTGAAATGATATTTTCTACATGAAGTTATGGTTTGAAAATAGTTGATATAGTTTCAAGTTGAGATCACTACTATGATATTTACATAATGGAATTAAGTACCTGCATTGAGACGAAACCTACCTGATAGATCCCTCTTTCCTCTTTTACCAACTTTCTGTTAATGTTTCAGGGAATATAGTATACAATGCTATTTACCTATGATCCCGACTTTTTTGACTGGATAGTGCTCTTGATCGAAATGAAAATTTGCGTCGGAATATCTGTTTGTACATTATCTAAAATCAATCGTTATTCATATAGTTAACATAAAAAACGGATTGAAAATTAAAACAAAGTTAGAGAAACTCAAAGTTATCTAACTTTTTTCTGAATATTACTGGAGATTTTTTCCAACACCATCTCCTACCAACCAAATAGCAAAATGGCTGACTAAGGAATTTGAAGGCTTGCTATTACGGAACCAGGTTTTAGTATAAAATACTCCTGACACTTCATACACCCGCTATGGGTAACCCCTTGTCCCCCTACCTAGCAAACCTGTTCATAAGCAGATTCGAAACGGAAACCTAAGAAAAGTAAAAGTATTTTCCTAGGATATGGCTAAGGTATGTGGATGATGGTTTCGCGATATTCGATAACAAAAGATCGAATATTTTGTACTTTGTTTCCTTTTTAAATAACAGATTTCCATCAATAAAATTCACGTATGAGTTAGAAAGTAAAGGAAAACTTTTATTTCTTGACGTATTGGTAATCATGAGCCAATATGAAGAATATAAATGTGTTGAAAACACTACTCGTATTCCCATACCCGAATTTCGCTAACAAAGTTACCATCATCAGGAAATGACTAAAGCTCTTTTAGGCAAGCAAGTTTAAGGTAGTATGTGGCTTGTTAAGCTGTACATTTGCTTCTTTTGATAAATTGATGGATGTAGCCGTTACTACGTGGTAGGAAATCAACATGAAAAATGAGAATTAAAACTTTTTATGTTTTTCACCACTTTCATTTGTAACTAACGTTATTGCAGTTTCGTCCTACAAGGACATTTTCAAAGGGTTTAAGATGTTTTTGTGAATACATTGATGATCTTTTTCTAATTTACTTCCAGCAGTATTAATAAAATCAACAGTCACGTGAAAATTATCAGCAATGCACAACGATTCCTCTCGAAAACTCCCAGGAAATATCATTCACGAAATGAGAAAATTTAATTACACTAGTGCAGCTGAGGGTGAAAGATTGAATTTCATAGTTCGTACCCACATTCCTTTCAAAGTTTAACTGGAAAGATGTTGACAAATTCCCTTATTCCCGTGACTAATCCGAGTTGACCTCTGGCTATTACTATTTTTCTGCTCTAGAGACCATAACATCCTGTATTTAAGCAGCTTCTCGTCTCACACTGAAACAGTGCCAAACGTAACTTTTTCCGGGTAACAACTTGCAATGACTGGAATTGTCAAATGGGTATTGCTGCTAACAGTATCCACCATTCACGTAAGTAATATAACTTACTCAACCTGGGCCTTGAAAGCTGTACGTAACGTACGAATTCATTGATTAGAAATTAGGTTAACCAGATAATATATACAAAAATTCATACACGGAAAGAAGTAACAACAAGTGGTTGACGTAATAAACTTTTTCACGAATAGTTGGATGTAAATGTCAGCTTAAAAATCAGCACAGAAAGCAAAAAAAAAAATAGTTTTCCAGGTCGTCTGAGGAGGTGAAAATGTGGTGAAAACTTGAAAAACTCATATAATTAAAATTGAGTATGTACAAACTCAATTTTCAAATATATAGTTTTTTCAAGTTTCCACCCCATTTTTACCCCCTGGAAAACTATAACGCGAAGTTTTTCTCGTAAAATCGGGTGTCAGTAATAACATCTCTTAATCTTGTAGATGTACAAACTCAATTTTTGAATATATGATTTTTTAAAGTTTCCACCCCATTTTCACCCCCTCGGACCACCAAGAAAACTATAACGTGAAGTTTTTCTCGTCGAATCGTGTATCAAGAATAACATCTCTTAATCTTGTAGATGTACAAACTCAATTTTTGAATATATGATTTTTTAAAGTTTCCACCCCATTTTCACCCTCTTAGACGGCCTGGAAAACTATAACGTGAAGTTTTTTTTAAAACTATAACGTAAAGTTTTTCTTGTCGAATAGATCATCAGAAATAACATATCTCAATTTTGTAGTTGTACAAAGTCGATTTTTCATGTTGAGACATTTTTTTATATTTTCACCCCATTTTGACCCCGTCAGACGGCCTGGAAAACTAAAACGTGAAGTTTTTTCAGTCGAATAGATCATCAGGAATAATATATCTCAATTTTGTAGATGTACAAAGTCGATTTTTCATGTTCATACAGTTTAATAAACTAGGATGGTTCTGTTTTTTTACTAATTCAGTCGATTAGCTTATCATATTGAAAAACGGTAGCTGTGCAGAGTCGGTAAATGAAAAAATAATAATGCGATATTTTTTTCTCAGTGTACTTTGTGAATGTGGATAACTTCACACCCGTATTCATTTCATGTTATTCAAAATAATAATTAATTAACATGCCATATTTTCTTTTCCTTAATTCGATCATATATGTGAATTCATTTCTCAATTTGTCAAATCCTTAATATGTCAATCTTTTGTTATATATTTAGTTTAAGTAGCCTTTATTTAACAATCTCAAAAAATCTGTTTTTCCGTTAACCAACTGTATACTGTGTTATTATATTATATATTGTCTTGTAAATGGATGCATTTGTTGGTCAATAAATTTTGTTTTTCTATCTTTTCTATACTCATGAATTCACAAATAGACCATTCCTTCTATACTTTATAACTGAAAACTGGTGTTCGATGACCAAATAAAATTTCTTGGAACATTTATCGATGAAACATGGATAATTTTCAATACCACGAAATAGATCGAGTCGTTTTATGAATCCTAGCCACACCCTCGAGTCATACTAACACAGATCATGGTTTATAACAGAGTCATTAACATAATTCTGAAACCATATAAATTTTATCTAATACTTGGTGTCCCCCGTCGAATATCTTTCGAAAAACCTTGAATTATATGGCGATTAAGATATTATTAAAAATCTGGCATATTATATTGATATACTAATTATTATTAGTGTCACAGTATACCCTGCGAGCAATAAGTCTGTCAAACAGCCTCTATGGCCTGACAATTATTGGAATTAATGAAAATAACAACCTTGGATTATTGATGTCTTTATTTATTATTCAGTATCAGTTCTTAGTCAGATATTATTAGGTATCTACAAGAAGAGTGATCAAGTCAAACCAGGTTGTATATCACCTGGCTTTAATCATAATGGTGACCAGTTCAGTTATACAGTGTGTATTTCTCCAATATGACATTTACAAATTTTCCAAAAAGCTATTTTTGATTTTCAGATAGTGATAAATGACCAATATTGAAATATGACTTTGATCTGTTTCTCTAAATCTATAAATGAAGTCCAGGAATTCTCACTGTACTGAAAAGCTTTTCCAAATAGGGAATGTTCGGTACTCGAGCAACGGTTCAAAGAAAAACACCATTCATCTAGTCTATAAAATCATGCATTAGCATTTTCGTGCGTTATCAGATAGAAATGAATAAAATTATGTGGCTAATCGATTACATCGTCTTGTTTTATCCATCAAAATATTTGTGTACAACCTGTTTGAAAATGAACGTCACCAAACATTACGTAAGAGATCAAGATAGACGTTCATATGTAATTATGAAAAAACGTTGTGTGTGGCAATGAAATTTAGATAAATCTTAAGTCAACACAACAAAAAATTCTCACCGCGGTTCAAGTTATCTTCCCATCTAATATAACGTACTATATAATAAGCTGCGTTGGATTAACGTTAAGTGGTCGTCAAATGTCAAAATTAAAGAGTTGAAAAAGTGATACCAACAAACATTTCTTAATTTCGTGTCGTAATAGTCTTATCATTACCGATATATTGCATGTTTCATAAAGTTACAACTCTTGTTAATTTCAAAAGATGATAAATCAAAAGTCCTTCCATTGGAAACCTCAGGTCATTCACATGAAACATATTCAACTTATAGGTAATTGCCTTTCCAATAATGTGAATGTCACTTATAAGTGGAGGAATTTGTTTACGGTAAAGCAATAGTTCTAGTTTATTAAATCTTCGACTGAATTAAGGTGGAAATCCCTAATTTATCATCAAACTTGCTAAAGAATCCAACAAATCCCCAGTACCACAGGGATCAATACTGGATCCATCACTCCTTCCACTATTTATTAATGACCTTTTTTGTCACGTGATTCAACCAATTGTATCTTACATTCAGATGACATTATTTTCTTTTCGATTTCAACGGGAAAGTATAAGACGTTTATCTAACTGGAAAAATTTTGAAAAGACTTACCGATATGAAATTTTATAAATATACTGAAGTTCAACTCAAATTATTCGTGTCATCTTCGTCTTCTTAATCTCAATTCAGATTGTTGCAGTGCTAAGTCACCAATTAACCCATGTTTCTTGGTCCAATTGTTACATTTTCATTGCTTTTTACGTTTTTATGTTTTTTATTACAGCTATCACTCACATATTTCATTGTTAGAATGTAATGATTATTGGTCCTTTCCTTGAATTGTATTTATATTTTCACGTATTCATGTTTATCAATAAAGAGAAATCAAATAAGACAAGACAAGACAAGACAATTTATTTTCCACTGAATGTTACAATACAAGTACCATACATTATGGGAATCGTCACTAATAAGTAGGTTATAATAATATTACAATTTCACTTTTTGTTGTGTCGCAAGCGACTGTTTTTGTCAACAATGAAATGTCCCGTCGGCAGGCGGAAAAATCAAAAGGTTTCGGTGTTTTGTCTGTGTTTTTGTAAACTATCAGACGTCCCAAAAATGCTCACCAGTAAGAAATTTCGCTCAAATGAAGAGGTTACTGCTGAAAGTAGAGCCTATTATGGAAACGGTGGGCGAAATTATTACTTTATTTAAAGTGTTAATCTGTGGCGGGTATAAATTTCGATTATCAGCACTAGGCAGGCTATTTTAATTGATCTGTTGTGTTGTTATTTATTTCAATCAAGAATGAGATTCAATTTTTCTTTGTAGAACAAGATCAATCAACAGTTGAAGAAAGCAGCAATTTAATTGCTGTTCGTGTGTGGAAACGATGAAAATAGTTCACAAGAAAACATGCGACTCAGGCTAGTTTTTGTCTGTTTGGTGGAATTCGAGTTTTGAGTTCATTTTCGACACTAGTATAAGTTTTTTGTTTCTGATTATCAAAACTAAACTAGTGGCAAGCCAGTCCGTTATGTGAAAATCCGTCTATATGGTTTCATTTCCAAATCGAAACATGTATCAAAAGAAAGAATTATGTCGCTTGCAGTACCAAAAAACTTCTCGAAATAAAAATAAACACTCGTAAAAATCAACAGCTTGAAATGAGCAAAATTAGATTACTTTAGAAATGATTCATTTGTCGTATATGGAGTGGAGCGTATTTAATGACATAATCATTCAATGCATCTGCTACTATTGCCCACCACAATTAGTACAGTAAAATTAAAACAGAAAGCACTTAGCACCAGAATAAAAAGTTTCTCAAAATTCACATCGATTGTTGATGTGCTGAGGCGTCCAGACCGAGGGTCGTCATTTACATTTTCTGAACCTTCTGTGAAAAGCTTGCACAGAGTCCAAATTGGACGCTTTTAAAGGGAAACTCCTGTTTTTAAACTAGATAGATGAAAACTAATGGCTATGTCTGAAGGACAAATTTTATGACGAACTCAATGGTGGAAACCGCATATCGATATCTATATCGTTTCTTAGTTTTAGTATTTCAATACCAATTGGAACAGCACAGAGAAGAAATTCTCGCCTCGACGTAGGCGTCGGCATATTATTTTTCAGTGCTAGTTTTTCAGTTACTTATTCTTACAATCAAAGCAATTGATCAGCCCATGAAAAAGTTATCTCAACTGAATTTTTCCACCATGGGTAATTATGAAAAACTTCCGAGTCGAAAACTGTGAAATACAATGAAAACGCAAATAATCACACTTAATTCTCGTCATATATTTACAAAATAATAGAGGCCAACAAAATTGCTAGAAAAATCAAAATTCTTCTTCGCTATATTCTGATGAGGTGGAATCATCATCGGGTTGAATAACGATCGGATTTATGGAACTTTGCACATAATATTTGTTCTCTTCTTTTATAACGTGGGCCACACAGTTCTTCCACACATCACTATTACCTACTTCATTCACCACTCGCCTTATATTGTCAAGCACCACAGCATTCAAAGTCGGTGACTGAACACACAATAGTATGGAGGCAAACGTAAGAGAATATGACCACGTGTTTTACACATCGAATCAATAATATATTCTTTTTTGAAATTACCTTGTTTTATGGTCGCCAGTAATACCTTTTTCGTTGGAATCTTTTCGGGTATTTCCGTGTCATGATTTCGCATGAAATCAACAATATCTGTTTTTTTTTGTGTTATTGTTTGGTCAATAACCGAGAATGATACGAAGCGTTATCTATAACAATAACCGAGTTTGGAGGAATATTTGGGAGAAGCTGCTCACTGAACCAGGTTATAACATGTTTTCCCCTTGAAGAAGGTGTGTTCAAAGCACAATACTTGGTTTCGTTGATTATATGTCTGCTGGATTCTCGGTAGCTTTTCATTCGCCTCAAATATTCTTGTCAGAGTTTTATATTTGAAACCACAAGACAATAAGACACCTCGTAGAGTTTCTAAAGATTTGTAATTGTAATCGAGATAGTCGAGTAATTTATACCAAATCATTTCCAAGGTTGGTACTTCATTTTTTTGGTATATACCATAAATTGTTCGCCGAATCACATCTTTTGTAGCACC